TGTTGGGGGCAATATGCTGACTCTGTAAACCGCTTAGAGAGGGCTGAAAGCCCTATGAAGCAGTATATAAGTCTAACTGCTATTGCTATAATGCTGCTCATGATTTGGAGAATGGCGTGAGCAGCCTTGGGAAAAGGCCTCACAACCAGAAGCTGCCTCACACAGGGCAGACCTCATCAGCAGTGAAAGATGGTGAAGGTGAATGTGGCAGAGGCATCTGGCCACTGTTTGGTGCTCAAGATAGCATTGTGCTGAAGTAGAGGCCCACACTCACCAGTGGTGCTGGCTGGCTGTCACTTCTGAAGGCCCCAAGCCACTACTTCAACCCCAGCATTGCTGCTTCTGCCAATAGGTTTTGTTGTGCAGGACAGCCAAAAGGGCAGAAATGTCCTCGCAATCATAAATGCAGGTAAGGTATTGCAAAGTAACTGAATTCTAATCATGTAACCACAACTTCAGGAACGGGACCTAAATACCAGTCATTCAGCATTGCTGTAACTTCAGTCACTGAAACAATGGTTGTAAACTGAGAACTACCTATAAAGAGCAATAAATACCATTGCTTATACAAGTCTTCACGTGATGAAGACCAAAGGGGATCAAATGTTTGAAAACTAACTCTAATCTCTGTCAGCATGTCAGGAAACAGACAACACAAGAACTAGAGTTACTCATCTTTATTGTTTAGGATGTAGTGACAGAATCCTGGAAAGCCTGAGAAAGTTTCTTTCTCCCTGTTATAGTCAAAGTGAACTAATCTGGAGTTTCTTCCTCACCCCCTTCTGTATTTCCTAGCTAAAATGATGTTTTTTGTAATGACTGTTGCATATTCTTCTTCAAGACTATCTCATATTCCTGTTCAAGCCTGTAGGAAGTATAAACTGAGAACCTACCCTCAAACTCACATTAAAGGAAAGGGAACATTTCATTTGCATTGACCTGATGTATCTACATATTTTCATGACTTAAGACTGAAAAAAAAAGATTCTCAGCATGCCTAAAAACTGTTGCTTGTGTTTGGTTCTTTAAAGTAACTAGCATCATTTTATTCCTATACAGGAGCTCTAAAATATATTGCTTGTATGATTTCAAAATTTGATCTTACTCATTCAATTATAATTCTTTAAAATAAGTTCAATAGTTTTATATCATTCATCTCCCTGCAAAAGAACACATTCTGTACATCTTTGTAGCCTAGTTTCCAGATCAGAGGTTAAAGCAGATTTCAAATGCACACTACTACGAACCCCAATAATTGTGCTGTGATTTGTATGTAGTGACCTTGTATCCAATTCTGGAATTAAAAGTGCTCTAAGCTGTAGAGTACACCATTCACAGTCATTCCCTCAACAACAGGGGAGATATTTACCTTCCTGGCTTCAAACACCCAGTGACTTTTGCCATCATCATCAACCTGATTCCACCATCGGAGGCCAACCATCAACCTTCCTGTGACATTCTGGAAAGAGTTAAATACAGAATGAAAGTGCTTCCTGCAACAGCAATCATACATTTTGCTAAATAAGCTCCCCCAAATGGCTCCACTGTTTTATACACGAAACTCTAGTGAAACAAGAATCTCATTCCTGTTGTGCTGTTCAACAGCATAACTACAGGCAGCTATTAGAGTCGTAGTTCTAAGTGAGCTATCAATTGCTCAACTTGTACTAGTAAGCCCCTGGGCCACATTATCGGCAATCCAATTACGTTTACTGCAAATAGTTGCTTGGCAAGCAAAGTTATAATTTCAGTGACATGGAGACATGTTGTTACGAAGTTTCTTAGACCACAATCTGAACATACGTTATATGCCTTCTGGTTATTTCAAATGGCACAAAAATAGTTTGCCATGTGTCTTCCTGCCCAAATAACTCTGGAATGTTTATAACAAGTGCCTGCTTTAAAGATATAAATAATTACATGATGGAAATGCTTTTTCAAACATTCAAACATATTTGTAATTTTATCAGGCATAAAAGTGCAATAACACATATTATTACTCACTTTGACATGCTTCTAAAATACGTTATAATAATGGCAGCATGACCAAGGAATAGAACTGGCCTCTACATTGTACAAGGGAAAGAGGCTGTTTTGTTCAGTATCTGTAATAATGAGGAGTCCTAAGCAAGCCAAGGGACAAATCTAACACTGTTTGTCAATTGGAATATATACTCTACCCTCTTAAGCCTTTGTTCACTTAACACGTAATCATGCTGTGTTAATTTGACTCTGGATTTAATATATAAATGTGCATAACTTCCTTCTACAATGAAAGCTTCTTGCTTTTTCTTCTTTTTGGCTCTATTCTGAATTCCATGAATGCAAAAGAACCATGCACGTTTTCCACAGGATTCCCACCCTCCCAGGTCAAAAACTCTGTAGTAACTTCTGCTTCTATAAAGGTTAGGAGAATAAATTTTTAAAAAGTGCTGTCTCTTTTGGTGGCAGAAACATCCCATAAGCAGAACTCTGACAAAGTAATGTTCCAATAAAAACAGTAATTAAAATCCACAAAAAGTAGTTACAAAGTATTATAGGGAGCAAGCCTTCTGCATGTACCGCATTTTTTGCACTATAAGATGCTCTGTACCATAAGACACACCTAGCTTTTGAAGAGGAAAACAACAAAAAAAATCTGCCTCTTCCTCCCAGCTATTTGCCTCCTTGTAGAAAACAGCAAACAGCCTGGTCAGCTTCAGGACAGCCTGATTTAACATGAACAGTAGATTGGCGGTTGGATCGGCCTCTCCCAGAATACTGCTGATCAGCTGTTCCAGGCTGTGGGGATCGCTGCTGCCCATCGCCGCCGCCTATCGCTGCCTCCAAAAATCCATTTTCAGCCTCCACGCTCTCCATTATTGACCTCTGTGTATCTCATTTTTGGCTTCCATGCATCCCATTTTCAGCCTCCACGCTCTCCATTATTGACCTCTGTGTATCTCATTTTTGGCTTCCATGCATCCCATTTTCAGCCTCCAT